CTGGAAGATGGTCTTCAGTACACAGATGTACAAATTCAAACAAACCAAGTTTCTGATTTCCCCCTAGAGCAGAAAGTAATGAGAAATTGGAAGGGAATGTACCCAACCCATGGGGTTATTTAAGGACCCAGGAGGGTTAAGTGTTGGGCGGCCAACCACAAGGTTGGCTGTTCAAGCCTACCAGCCAATCCAAGATGGACGAGGTGGCCTGTTCCTACAAAGAGCAATTGTCTTGGCAACCCTAAATAAGGTTTCCGTAAGTTGGAAGGGACTTTTTTTGTTTGGCCTTGGGGGTGGGAAGAGTTTATGGGGTTAGTTGGTTATTGAAAACCTTTCATTTTACTAATCATGACAGCCAATAAGAAATGACTAGAAATGAGACTATACAACTTTAAACAGAAGAGAAAAAAAATAAAAACTTTTGTTAGAAGTACAAACGAGTCAGACTCATTTTCCAAAGATCTGTTACATTCAAGAAAAAAATTATTTAAGATCTCTTCTACTCAGAAGCTAGGACAAGTTATTTCATCTTTCTGTACCATAGTTTTTTAAATTGGAAGATGGGAGTAACGATGCCCATCTCTCAAAGCTGTTTGCAGGATTAAATAATCAGATCCCAGTCAGCCCTGGCACTTGTATGCACTCAATAACTAGGATCTGTGAAAATTATTTATGATCCAGGCTAATTTATTCAATTGCCAATGTTAGTTCAATGAACTCAATCAATTAGTAGGATGAAACTCGAAGGAATCCTTAATACCATTTATGGATTCTCCACTAAAAGTACCCTCATCCCCCCACCTCACAAATCAAACTCTGCTGTTGAGTAGATAGTGACCCACGGTGTTCTATGAGTCAGAATTCACTTGCTGGCAATGAGTTTGGGTTTTTTGTTACTATATTCTGTGAGAAGACAGAAAAGGTCTTTTAAGCCAAAATATTCTGAAAGAGGGTATGAAACCGCTGCTGTTTCACGCAGAGGTAAATCACACTTTATAATGCTACTGTCCCTTCTTAGTATTGGAGAGGACGAAGACGAGTAAGGGAAGGAAGCACAGGGTTAGAGAAATGGGCAAATAATGGGCAACCGGTAGAGCTGTATTCTAAATCCAGGTTGTTCTGATGACCAAATCCCTTGCACTATTCATCTGTAAGTTGTGATGTCTTTTTTTTTGGGGGGGGGGGCAGTTAAACCCCAAATATTATGTTATAATTAAATACGCGTATAACATTATACTTAATAAGAATATAAAAACAAATCCCCAAGTTTGATAGATGGCGCTTGACCGCTCTTCTTCAATTTAAGATTATGGGTAGAACCGTCCAAATCTACAAATATAAGTAACAACACGTTTTGTTATTCCTTTTCTCACAGCAAACCTGCCTCCAAAGAACATTTAAAATGCCAAGATTACATTTTAATTAAAGTAGCCCTGTGCTTAATCTAAGTCCCAAAGATCCATAGTTTGGAGGAAGTTAATTCTACAATATACACTCTGACTGTGCTGATCTCAGGAGAATGATGAGACTGTCTGCTCCCCAAAAGATTTACAGCCTGAGCACCCCGAAGCAGCAGCTCTCCTCTGTCTCACAGCTTTACTATGAGTCAGACTCAACCTGGTGGTCGTGCGATACTACCTGGCACACCCAAACCAAACGTTTAATAATAATCGCAAACCGTTTTTGACTTGTACCAATAGTGAGGTATAACACTGCTAACCCTTCTATGGCTATGTCTGTGGTCAAAGGACTCACTGCTGACATGTTTTTATTAAAAAGTTGATTTTTCCATAAAAGGGAAATAAAATATTTGCCTAAATCACCATCCTTTAGATTATTACTACTATCAGAAATACAATTTTATCTTCTTATGCTGCGTTACTAAGCCAGGTGCTTTGTGTACATTATTTCACTTAATCCATTTTTGACTTAATGTAGAAAAAGCATAAAAATTAAAACATCAATTAAGGAACCTGACAGTCTGGGCTGAAATTCTGGCTCCTGTTCAATTACTTATTAGCTGTGACCTTGGGCAAGCTTACTAATCTAAGCCTCAGTTTCTCATCTTACAGTGATAATTATAGTATCTGCCTTATATGGTGTGATGAGGAATTAAACGTGCACAAAGTGCTTATTAGCACAATAGCTACCATTCCGTAAATGTTAACTATTATTGTTCTGTTGTTTTGAACATTATCATTATCTCCATTTTACAGATGGAGTAGCTAGGCACGAAGGAAGGTAAGCGTGCCCTGAATCTTACCTTAGGTGTACTGAGTTCCAAAGCCGGAGGCTCCTTCCACCTACTATACAGATTCCCATTTAATTAATAGTATCTCTATTAGATCTTGGTACTTATAAACGTGGCTATGGCTTATAAAATGTGACTATGGCTTACACATAGATAAAATAAACATGGAAAACAAAGCCAAATCCACTGCTAACAAGTTGATTCTGACTCATAGCAAGCAATCCTATAGGGGCCAGAATTGCCTCTTTGCGTTTTTGAGGCGGTAAATATTTACAGAAACAAAAACTATCACTTTCGTCCCTTAGAACACCTGGTGGTTTCAAACTGCTGACCTGGAAGTTAGCAGCCCAATACATAACCGAGTATGCCACCAGGATGCCTTTAAATAGGAATTGTTCTTTTAAAAATGGACAAATAAAAAGCCCCCGTAGCAAAGTTCACTTGCTGTGTACCTTTCCCAGTAGTGAAGAGGGAGAAACCACCAAACTGTCCATGGACAGAGAAATGGGTAAACACACTGTGGTCTATAAACAAAAGGGACAGGACATCACGGGTTAATTTAAGATAGAGTGCAACCATCTCCGTTTACTTAAGTGCCAGATATGGTACTAAACACTTCTCATGTTATCTCATTGAATCCTCCTATAAATAAGCAATTTGCCCCGTTTCGCATAGCTAAAACAGATAGGATATGAACTCAGGTCTTATAAGATATCTGACTGCTACAAAGTCTTACCTCCTCACTTATTAGATCCGAAATCTATCAAAAACTGTTATGTGAAATCTGTGTTAGTTGGTAACTGAGCTTTTACATCAAACCAAGATAGTTTGAAAGACTTTCCTTCCCAAAGGTCAGGTAGATAGATGCCAAGGAATGGCAGGGCGTGCAGTGCCACATCAAATCACAAGGCTTTTATTCAAATGTGTAATGGTGGTTCAAAGAATTCCGTTGTCTCTCCAAAAGTTAAGATGGTGACAAAAGCAACAGGGCCCTGTTGGAGTTACTGAGAACTCAGCTGCTAAGTATATGATGGGTGAACGATTCACTGCTCTCACTATCAGGAAAGATCCCCTGACAGTAAACATTTTACAATGTGAACTATATCTGCAGGATAAGTGAGTCTGGCTCTTGCTAGTTGTTCAATGTTGATCTTGGGTAAGTCATTCTCTCAGCGCTCAGTTTCTCACCCACAAAACACCGATACCCGCAGGAGCTATGCCACTGGCCTATGAGCAGCATAATATAATATATGCGAAAAGCTTTAACATTTACCAAGTACTATATTTAAGTATACATAATGCTTTTAAAATAAAAATGACTTTTCAAAATGGAAATACAAGTGAGGTTTCATGCCTTACTAACTTGCAGTTGTCCGGCTAGGGACATCAGAAGTTCCATTTGGCTTCTTTATATGTTAGAGTAGCTAAGGGCAGTAGAAAAAGAGTGATGTTAGGCGGAAAAGCAAACAAATCTATCCTGGAGGAAGTGCTCCATGAACATGATGGGCGAGTACAGCTTACATGTTTTGGATATGTTATCAGGAGGGGCAGTCCCTGGAAAAGGACATCAGACTCAGTAGAGTGCAAGTGGAAAAGAGGAAGATCCTCAACAAGATGGACTTGCACAGTGGCTGCAAGAATGGGATCAACCAGAGGAAAGACTGTGAGGATGGTGCAGGGCCAAGCAGTGTCCCTACTGTTGTGTGAAGGGTCGTTACTGACTGAGGTACTTAACAACAACAACAACAGAGAGGGCGCAGAAAAAGAAGTAAGTTAGTTGGGAAACCATCACTATGCCAGCTAGCAAACTCATTTTCCTAGTTACGTTTGAAACTTAAGGGGTGGGGGTGGGGATGACTAGTAGGTCGATTACACTGATCTACATAGCTGCTGTAGGTTAAATATGTCACATTTTATGTGGAGAAAAAAAAAATCACTGGGTCTGATTTTGTAGCTAACCTCAACAGAGAGGATTGCTTCTAAAGGGTAGAGAAAAGGAAGAAAAGAGCTATAAGCAGGGCATCACGGTTTGGCTAGACACTTTTGAAGAAAGCAGCAGGATCTTTCCGAATCAATCCTTGGACCACCATACTCCAAAGACCTGTGGGCTGACGAGCACAGTGCCAACAGCACAGCTCACCGTCTGAGTGCAAAGGACCGAGACTGCAGTGCCTCCTAAACTGCAGGCCACACAGCGGCTTCTCTAGCTGGCTTATACAAAGGCCTGTTTTATCTATTTTGCAAAATATTTGGGCTATCTAGAATTACTTTCTGCCCACCCACCAGGCTTCTGGATCAGCCTAGATCATTGGGGCCCAAACTTATTTGGCCTACCAACCTCCTTCCAGAAAAAAGAATTACTCAGTGCCCACCTGGCAATTACAAGCTTTTGGATTGTAGCCCATAATCCAGGGAAAATGTATTGAATAAAAATGCTATCGAGCATGTTTAAGATTAAAGGGGAACTGGGCAGGGCTGTCAGAGGTTAGTACGGTGAGCAGCAAGCACTGTGGTTCCTCTTAAGGTGGGCGTTTTACCCTGTTCCAGGGTATGTGTGGTAATGGCAGGGATTTAGCTTCATTACAAGTTTGTAGGTTTGGGAATGACAATTTGCAACCTCATTACCAAGACATTTCCAGGTACACTGCAGGCACGTTACACGAAAACACTGGTACAATTGCTGGCTTTGGCTACCCGTGTTTCCAATAGAACTCTGCTCAGGCAGTGCTGGGGGTGATGAACTGCTTACTTTCTCCTGCCTCTGCCTCTCCTTGTCCTTCTCCCTCTTCTCTCTCTCCCTCTTCTCTCTCTCCCTGTCCCTCTCCTTCTTTTCCTTGTCCTTCTCCTTCTCCTTCTTCTTCTTCTTCTCCTTTTTGTCTTTTTTCCTGTCTTTCTCCTTGGGCTTCTCTTTCTCTTCAAACAGCTTTTCCGGGAGCACAGGCGACAAGGAAGGCAGCATGGAGGGGATCCTCACGGCGCCGCTGGGAGAAAATAAGGGCACCGGCAGTTCTTTCTGCGTCAACACTAAAGGCGTGGGTGGCACTTTTACTCTCTCGTCTCGACTTCGGTCCTTGGCCTTTTCTTTTTCTCGCTTCTCTCTCTCTCTCTTGCCCTTCTCTCGGTCTTTCTTCTTGTCTTTGTGCTTCTCCTTCTCCTTCCTCGCTATTCCATCTTTCAATCTGACTTTGGGATCCACATCTTCAAACTCTTTGATTTTAAATTTATAGGGATCCGAATCTTCATCTTTAAGAAATTCCTTCCACGGATACTTTGCTTCCTTGCCGATTTCCTTTTCCTTCTCTTTGTCCCTAACCTTCTCCTTCTCTTTGCTTCTTTCCTTCATCCTGTCTTTTTCCCGCTCCTTGTCTCTCTGCTTTTCTTTCTTTTTCATTTTTGTTCTCAGTTCTTTTTTCAACTTCTTCTTCACTTCTATCGAGGAAGGCAGCTTGGTTTTCTCCTCATAGACCTTGTGAAGAGGCTCGGGGGTAGGAGGAGAAATGGAAGGAGACGAGAAATAGGGATAGTTGGGAGGCACACTCGGAGGTGTCCCCAGCTTTGCTTTACGGACGACCTCGTCAATTGAGGCATCCATTGTCCATGAGTTATCAGAACTTGACGTGCCGCCTGAAAGGGGCAGAGGAGTGGATCCTGACTTCGTGAAGTTGTTTGAGGAAGTGGAAGCTTTGGGAGTAGTACACTCTGAGCCTGAAATTCTCTTAGGGCTGGTGAAAATGTCTCCTTCGGATTCCGACCCAGAAGAAAATTCAAAAGGATCTGGCTCTCGTTCGGCACAAGCTCGTGCAATCACAGCGTCGATTGAGTCATCGATTGTTTTATCTGCTACAACAGCCTTTTTCAGCTGATTGTCACTGTTCAGTTTCCCAGCATCAGGGGGGGTGTGAGTTTGTTTCACCGGGATAGTGTCTTTATTAATTTTTTCACTGATTGTAGCTGAAGGAGTCCTATTTGGTGTGTCAGGCCTGACAGGTGCTTGGGAAACAAGAGTCATAGCCTTAGGACTTTTGGGGCTTTTAGGGCTCTTAGAACGTCCAGGTGATTTCTTTTCTTTGGATGTAGTTTTAGGTGACCGAATAGGACTTCCAACCATGGCTGGTGACGGAGTAGCTTTAGGTGATTTGGTCTTCTGTCCTGGAGAACTAGTTTTAGTCTTTGTTTTCGGTGTGAATGGCTTGGATTCTAATGGTTTTGCCGTTGGCAACTGTGATTTTGAAACTGGAGCTAACATTGGGGGCTCTGGGGATGGGGGTGCTAGGTCTGTATTGTCCTGTACATGGACCGGAGAAAGCATTGGTGGAATCTTTTGTGTATTTATTGAGCTGAGTGGTTCTCGAGCTTCCAGTAATACTACATCCAGGGCGTCCCCTTTAGTGCTTAAGAGTCGTGGTCGCTTCGTGGCAGGCATCTCCTCAGCTTCAGGACTCTCCAGTGGTCTTTTACCCAGGAAGTTCTCATCATTAATAATTTCCTCCTCCTCCATTTCATCATCTTCTTCCAAGGGAACTTGCATGGCTTCGGCTGACGTGCCCCCATCAGTGGGCACCTGTTCCTCTTCTTCCTCTGTAATTGGAAGAAAAATGAAGTGTTATTAAAACAGAACAGAACCTAACAAATAAAGCAATGTTTCAAACAGGATTCCTAACAATGGAAAAAATTACTGAAAGGGTTCAAAGCATAAAGCAGGGCAATTTTCAGAGTCTTCCACAATTGCATGCCATCCACTCTTTATGAGTGGAAACCACATCCGACTAGGGAGGCAGGGCTTGGCACTGCATCAGACCTGATCGAAAAACATTCATAAGGGTCATCAGACGGACCTGGAACTATTCATAGGCTATTTTTTTCTTTCTTTTTTTTCCTTCTCATGTCTATCTCTATAAGCTAGGCAGGATAAACAATCCCGAGGAGAAAATAACGGGACCAATGGCTGCAGGGGACAGGGGAGAGGAGGAGGTGGAGGAAAGAGAGGGCGTACCCAACAAACCCAGGGACAAGGGAACAACAAACCAATGGCGAGGAGGGCATAGAATGCCTGGTGGGGTTCAATCAAGTGCAATGTAGCTGAGAGGAAGTACAGAGCGCCGAATGAAGGTCAAACATGATAGTGGGACAGGAGGAAAGTACAAGGAAACAGAGGAAAGAACTAGGAGGCAACAGACATGTATAGAGGTATAAACATAGGCATGTACATATGTAAATATATAATGACAGGGATATAGGTCTATATACATATATTTGTAGGTTAAGTATTTAGGTAGCAGACAGACATTAGGCCTCTACTCAAGTCCTCCTTCAATGCAAGAACACTTGCATTCTGTGATGCTCACCTTCCCGACACGATGGCTGAAGACAAAATGGGTGCATAAGTTAATGTGGTGAAGAAAGCTGATGGTGCCCATCTATTACAAGATAGCATCTAGGGTCTTAAAGGCTTGAAGTTAAACAAGCAGCCATCTACCCAGGAAGCAACAAAGCCCACATGGAAGAAGCACACCAGACTGTGTGATCACAAGGTGTCGATGGGATCAGGTATCAGGCATCAGAAGACCCAAAACAAACAACCATTTCGATGTGAACAAGGGGGTGGGGGGTGGGGATGGGAGTGGAGATCCAAAGCCCAACTGTAGACAATAGGACATCCCTTCACAGAAGGGTCACAAGGAAGGGACGAGTCAGCCAGGGTGCAGCATAGCACTGATAAAACACACAACATAACCGTAGTTCTTTAATGCTTCCTCCCCGCACTACCATGACCCCAGTTCTATCTTACAAATCTGGCTAGACCAGAGCATGTACACTGGTACAGATAAGAGCTCTCGACACCCAGAATCCAGGACAGACAATCCGTTCAGGACCAATAATGGCAGCAGTGATACCATGAGGGTAGGGTGAAGGTGGGGACGAAGGGAGAGAAAGAGGGAAGTAAACACAATGATCGATGCACAACCTACACCCCCGCCCCGCCCCCCCCACCTTCCAGAGGGTTGAACAACAGAAACATGGGTGAAGGGAGACAGCAGATGGTATAAAATATGAAAATAAAAATAATGTATAAATTATCAAGGGCTCACGAGGGTGGGAGGATGGGAGAGGGAGGGGGAAAAAAGAGGAGCTGATACCAAGTGCTCAAGTAGAAAGAAAATGCTTTTGAAATGATGATGGCAATATATGTATAAGTATATTTGATATAATTGATGTATGGATTGTTAGAAAAGCTGTAAGAGCCCCCAACAAAATGATTTATTAAAATAAAATAAGAAAAAATCAATAAGGATGCCAAACTTTGGAGGCAAATTGAAGAAAGAGAGAGAGAGAGAGAGAGAGAGAGAGGAAATCAGTGACGGCAGCTGCACAAACGATTGTTCTCTTCTCAGAGGTCTGGTTGACCGTCAGAACCCGGCGTTTGCTAAGGATTTCTAGTTGATCTTCTGTTGCTTTCTTGATGGGCTCGTTCCCTAACCCGAGGAAATACTTTCTCTACTCTCCCTCACACCCCAACCCATACATATACATACACACGCCTAAAACTCCAGAGATGCGTTACTGTAAGACTATGTCCTCAAAAAAAATTATACGAAGACACATATTTTTAGTGTACTTACAACAAACTTTAATTCTTGGCCATTTCATTTATTCACACACACACACACACACACACACCATTTAAGAGTGGACTGTGGTGACAGCTACACAACTAAATGAATCTACATTAAAACACTAAAAAAAAGTTAATTCTTGGAGTTTGGAAAATGTACATCTCCAGACACAATTCATGTACTAAATATGTTTTCTATTTTGCTTGTCTGATGTCAGCCACTGTGAGAGGCACGATCGTTCAATTGAACACACACTGGTTTCAGCATTAGAAAAATGGTGCTTTCCTTAGAGGCTCTGGTCAATCTCTTAAGCTCTTTGAGACTTTCCTGGCCTTTTAAAAGGGACTAATGCTACGTGTGCTGCCTGCATGACTGTGTTGTAAAACCAGATGACTTAATTCTACACATATTAACTAAGCATATAGCATGTATAATGTACAATGAGAGGCTGAAAGAGCTACTACTGGGATAAATCAGAAATCAATCAAGACCTTAAACAGCATACCGTGTAATAGGGGAAATAAGATCTACATAGAAAGTGACTAGTGTCTTAAGACAGATAGCAGCTCAAAGGGGAAGCAGATAACTGTCACCATCAAGGATTTGGGGTGGGGAGAGGTATAATAAACAATCCTTAATGAGTAAAAGTAATTCTATTACAAACAACAACAAATGTTGAACATTTGCTCTGTGTAAGACTATGTACAGTACACTTGCAATTTAAAAAAGGATCTGGGGAAGACTTCGCTGACTAGGTGACGTTGGATGACTGGGTATGGTGAAGCACAGGATGACCGATGACAAGGAGATGGCCGCGGACCCTAATGAGGGTCAAGAGTATGGTGCAAGATGAGCAGTCATAGAAGGAAAATTGAACAGACTTGCATCTGGGTCCCACAAGCTTTCAACTCTAGGAAAGAGAACATGATCTTTAATCTACTAGCTATTTGGGTATAGTGTGGCATTTCAAACAAGAGAGAAAAGTGACCATAGTATGTGTTAAGAAAATTATTCTGGAAAGAACATATATGATGGAGAAGCAATACTTAAAGCAATAGAAGAAACAAATTAAAAGGTTACTGAAATGATGTAGGTTTGAGGCCACAGGGTCTTAGCTAAAATAATGGTAATAAATAAGAAGCAATAAATGTAAACAATACACTAAAAATACAATGGGTAACAACCCCACTGCTATCAAGTCAACTGTAACTCATAGTGACCCTAAAACCGCTCATTATGGTTTCTGAGACTGACATCTCTCTCCCGAGGATTGGGCGGTGGATTTTAACTACCATCCCAGTTTAACTCACAGAGCCCTACCAAGGCTCCTTATAGAATGGGTTAAACCTAATAAGCAATTGAATTCTTAAAGAGGAGAGGAAGAACTCAAATACAATTTCAGGGTTTGGGGTTCTGGTGAATGATAACTGCAGTTAAAAGAAGCAGAAAATTTAAATATAGAATAGATAAGATCATCAGCTCAATTACTAGACAAAAAGTTTGACGATTATTTCGTTGGCGATATCTAGCAGTCTGCTAAAACATAAAGACAAGTCAGGCTACGACAGCAATCTTTGTTAGGATAATAGAGATTATAATAATAGACATTAGGAAGGGGAGAAGAAGGGGTGATCATAGACAGCTATTTTGAGGCAATAGGAAGAAGAGGAGCTAAAGAAATACATGTAGGACCAGGAGACATAAAAAATATCCAGGGAGCAAGAATTTTAAAGAAGACTGGTGAACAAAGTCAAATGCTTAAAAGGTTTAAGGAAAATGAAGGCTAAGGACAGAAATCCCATAGGAAAGAACTGAGGAGCAAACATACAAGAAATGAAGGAGATAATGGATGTAAAAGCACTTTGAAAGATATAAAAAATACAATTGGAGGCATAATCATTGTTACTGTTACCTAGATACCTCTATTACCATCACCCATCAAGTTATACTAGTCAGACACATGAAACTCATCTTTCCTCATATCCAAGTGTGAACATATACTTTTCACTATGTCCTTTAATATATAGTTCCCATTGTACTGTCAGTTCAAATCCTTAGCACCTCTTCTCTGTACCACTGTAACTAGTCTCTCTCCAGTTGCACGTTTTTTCCCAAACCATCTTTCATATTGCCTGAGTGATTCTCAACCTTCCTAATGCTGTGGCCCTTTAATACAGTTCCTCATGTTGTGTTGACCCTCCTCCCCCAACCATAAAATTATTTTTGTTGCTACTTCATAACTGTCATTTTGCTAACGTTATGAACCGGGTGACCCCTGTGAAAGGGCCCTTCTATCCTCAAAAGGGGTCTCGTCCCACAGGTTGAGAACCGCTGCCTTACAGTGATCTTCTGAAAATGCAAATGTGAGCTGTGGTTCATTGGTCCCTATAAGAGCAGTTTGAAAAGGGAATTCCTGGGAGCCAGAGGAGTGAAGTGCAACCTTTCTGAGGTTACTGGAGGATACTGACTGGGCTCCCTATCCTCTGTTAAATGGAAGTGAGCCATAAATGTATCTGTTTTACATGCTAAGTGTCTACAAAAGCTTTTGTTGTGAGGGCAAAACATGTTTGGAAATCACTATTCTAAAATTCAATTTCCCCAACATGACCTATAAGGTGGTCTATCATCCAGTTCAGTAATTAACCTCGCCTTTCACAGTATGCCCTTTAGGGCTCTACCTATTCCAGCCATGCTAATTTATTAGTTCCTCAAGTATACAGCACTGTGCCATACTTCCTTAGCCTGGAATGTCTTTGATCTCCTGACCCTTTGGTGGCTATCTCTTCTAAGACTCTAATCCAATGTGACCTCGTTGGTGACACTTTTCCTTAGCAGTTAGAAATGACCACTCCCTCCTTCTCTGTGCTCTACTGCATCCTGCTTCTACATGTGTCACAGTAGCATTTCATTGAACTTATTTGCTTATATTACTGCCTTCTGATTAGAAGTTCTTAGAGGGGAGGA